TTAACAAGACCCCCAGTGGTTCATGTGCACACGGAGCATTTGTGAAGCACTGCCCTCGGGGCAGCCCTGACCCTGGGGGGAACACTGGTAAAGCCCAACCTCTTTCATTTCTCAAATGAGGAAGCGGGCCCAAGAGGGGAGGTACATTTTTCTCCTCTTCTTGTCAATAGGTCCCTGAGGACAGAGTGTGGGTGCGTCTCTTGCATGTCCACACAGATGCCAGCACAGAGAAGCGCACGGCTGTGCCCTGCAATGCCTGTTGTCTGTGTTCCATCAGGACTCTGAATTCTCCTTTTCAACCAGAAAAAAATGAGTTTCCGTTACTCATCCCTAGAAGCACAAGCTGCAGGTCCCCAACAGTCACTTGGACTGAGTTTCAACACCTTTGTTTTGTATAACTTCGCCACTAGCATCAGCTGCACCAAAGACCACAGCATCTGAATGAAGAGCAGCTGGCCTTGCCCTACACCCTTTGCCTGGAGGCGGCTGTGGTTAGTGTCACACTCAGAGAAAGAATAAGTACAAAGCAAAACCCCCAGTTGTTCTAAGATAACCACAGATGATAGATACTGTGGATGCAAACCTGGGGGAGAAGAAAGAAGAAAGGCAGCAAATAAAAAGACAAGCAAGGAGCCTCCCTCCCTGTGACAGGAAGCCCGGCCTATGATCCTTCTGCTGAAGTGTGATGTCAAAGGTCGAATATGGTGACCTGTGAACTGTGTCCTCCTGCCCCCCGCCCGCCTCTCTTCCCTGGCAAATTTAGTCCTTCATCCGGGGACAGGGGTTCGCCCTCCAGCAGAATTCTAACTCCCAGGGTAAGTGCCCCCCGAGAGGCAGCCCAGCTCGGGCATTAAACCCAGCCCAGGAATGAGAAACGCTGAGATGGGATGCAGGAAAGGGGAGAGGCCGTTTCCTTCAGCCCACCTTCAGCCCTGGCTGAGCCCATTGCCAAAGAGCCCACAGCTCCAGAGGTGCAGCCGTTGTCACCTCCACCCTGGCCTGTGGGCAGAAAGATGGCTCAACCCCTTAGCTCACAGCCTCCACTTCCGGGCCTTGCTTCCTTCCTCCATCCAGCAGAGCTGAAGACCCAAGACAACTACAAACTACCCACCTTGCTACCCCACAGTGAATTTATTTCCTTTCTCACATTCAGGACCCGGCCTGACACATCCATGTCACTCTAATGCCACACAAACCAGGTGGTACTGCAGTGTCTGCTGACACGTCCTAGCTCTGAGGACCAGGGTGTGGCCCATTCATTGTATCTCCCACCTGGCACAGTGCCTTGCATTCAGAAGTTGCTCCAAAGGGAGCAACGGAGCCGATTCCACTCTAACCAGTGTGACAGACGTAAAGGCTGAGCCTGGCCTCTGTTAGAACAACAATGCTTTCTCATTATTTGCCTTCCTGCAGCATGTCACCACTCGCCTACTTTCAGAGTTTCCTCTTATCTTTGTCATGACTGTCATCATCACGCCACCACTGACGACAAACTGAAAAGGCGAAAAGTATAACTGTTAGCCACAACCTTAAAAAAAAAAAGTTTGAGGCAGCCAATATGTTGGCTAAAACAGCAGGTTCTAGAGCCAGAAGTTCTTGGTTTCAGATACTAGCTCCGCCCTAACTGGTTTTGCTCAGTGGATAGAACGTCTGCCTGCCGACTGAAGGGTCCCGGGTTCGATTCCGGTCAAGGGCACATGCCCGGGTTGTGGGCTCGATCCCCAGTAGGGGGCGTGCAGGAGGCAGCCAATCAATGATTCTCATTCATTGATTCTATCTCTCTCTCCCTCTTCCTTACTCTCTGAAAATCAATAAAAATGTTTTAAAAAAAAGATACTAGTTCTGCCATGTATAAGTTATGAATCTTAGTCAAGCGACTTCACTCTATTACTGTTTCCTTGTCTGTGAAATGGAAACAGGAATATTACGTCCCCATCCTCGTGGGGTCCTGGTGGGAGAGCACATGTGTTCGAATGATGCATTTGACTGTCTTGTTCATTGTTATTGCTGGTCTCCAAGCAGCTGCTCTGGCAGTGCTAAATCAACCAGCGAGCAGAGTCCTTCCCTTCTGCTCGGAGGTGAGAGAAAAGCGTGGACGTAACAAGGCCGGGCTGCACAATCAAGTGCCCAAACGAGTAACACAGATGCACATAAGAAGAAGCAGAATTACATCCACAAAGGAATCTGTCTTCTCCTTTTCTTCTTAAAAAAGACAGCCTCCCTAGCTTTCATTTTCTACTTGAAGGAATGTAGAAAGAGCATGGGTACAAGAGCGATTTCCCTTCCCTCTGAATCTACCATAAGAAAAAGAGCGCAACCAATCGAGGTGCTCAATGCAGTCAACACTCAGCCTCAAAGCAAAGAGGGAGGAAGAGGGGGTGGGGAACATGCCGAGTGGGAGCAGGCCAGACCTAATGTCAGGGACCCTGAGAAACAGCTAACAATACAAACAGTGGTCAACCTACAGTTACTAGAACTTCGTGTTTCTAGTCTTTTTGATCATTCAAAGATATTTCAGAATTTCTAAATGTTATACATGTTCAAGCATAGTACAAAGTGGCAGTTTTAGTCACTGCAGTTTTGCTTGTAATAAACAGCGAATGACTGAAAACAACCTGTGTCCATCAGAAGGATTTTGGTTAAATAAGTGATACACTGTGCATCCACACAATGTATACACCCCTGTAAAAAAGAGTGAGAAGGCTCTCAGCATATTAGTAGGGAAAGAGTGCCAAGATAAGTGATAAAAGCAAGGTGGAAAAAGCATGTAGTGGACTACAGTTATGTGAGAAAGAAGTAATGGAGGCAGAATATAATTTGTACTGACTTGTATTTGCAATAAGAAACTCTAGAAGAATGTATAAGAAAGTAATAGAAGTGGTAACAGGGGAGGGGGCTGGACAGGCAGGTGGAGGCCAAGATAAGCTTTCACTAGATACCTTTCTATAATGATTTGATTTCTGAACTATGTAAATGTACTGATTATTCAAAAAATAATATAAAAACATCTGAACACCAGCCACTGTAGCCAAAACACATCTATGGGCTGCAAGTGGCCTGTGGGCCTCTGGTTTACAACTTCTGCACTAAGGGATATCAAACTGGGGAGGCAGAAAGTTGCAGCATGAAGTCCAGGTTTCACTAGGCTCAGAGACAAGCAGGTTGTTCAATATCTGGTATCTAGAACTCTCTCTGAAGCCTGGCAATGAGCTGGCTGGGCCCAGTAGCTCCTCCTCTCCTAGGGCAAAAGGGTGCAACTTTCCACAGGATGAGGTGGGCTCCTCCACTTCCCTCCAAAGTTAAGGTTACCTGGAACCCAAATGGTCTGTGTGTTCCCAGCCTCTGAGGCCTCTTCCCGACTCGTCCTATGAAAGGGCAGAGCAGTAGGAGCATGGAACTCCTCCTCTGGGGCACAGTGTGTCCACTGGGCCCCAACCCAACACACACTTCCCCAGACAGTGACGAAAGAACTGGACACGTGCCCCTGCTGCTGCTTCTCCCTCCCTCTTCCTGTCTTCCTGTCAGCACCGGGGACACGGCTCATGTTCACTCCTAGCCCTTTGTGTGTTCTGGTCTTGGCCCCGTGAATGAGCTCACTTCGTGTTCTGGGTTGAATGTGATCTCCAAATAAAGACAAGTTGGAGTCCTACCCTCCAGTACCTCAGAATGGGATCTTATTTATCCATAGGGTCATTGTAGATGTCTTGAGTTAAGATGAGGTCATATGACTGGTGTCCTTATAAGAAGCAGTCATGTGAAAATAGAGACAGGTAAAGAGAATGCCATGCGACAATGAAGGCAGAGCTTGTATTCCACGGCCGCAAGCCAAGAAACACCAAAGACTGGCACAAGCCACCAGGAGCCAGAAGACAGGGAAGGGTTCCCCACAGGTTGGAGAGGGAGCAAGGGCCCTGCCAACATCTTGACTTGGGACGTGTCTCCTCCAGATCTGTGAGACTATACATTCAGTTGTTTTTAATCACCCTGCTTGTCGTATTTTGTTTTGACAGCCCTCAGAAATGAACACACTCTGGCCAGTTCAAGTGGCTAAGGTCTCTGACGCTGTTCATCTCAGGAGGTGCTCAATAGATACTGATGACAACTCTGCCCAAATGAGTGAAAATTCTAGGCCCTTGACTGATAAAGTTTTATCGTTTAAGTATATACCGAAAAATCAACCAATAAATAATTACTGAGTATTGACCTTGTGAAGAATATAAGAGAAATGAAATATTACTGTCCTCAAGGAGTTGACATTTTGATTGAAGATTTAAGATAGGCACATAAAATATGACAACACATATAATGGCCAAATTAGTGTTACTTCGCCCCCTGCCCCACCCTAGAAGTCACTCATAACTAAATCCCACTGTACTGCCTCATACTCAGGCTCGCACATATTTTATCTTAGTGCCTCTGATGTATGTCCGGAAAAGCTGGGCAAATTTTAGAATGTCAGGCTAGTACATAATTTCTAGAAGCTGTCACCACTGCTCCTCACATGGAACCCAAACTTCTTGGCCACTGTGGAGACCTACTGCTGTCCATGATCATTATCCCCTACCCCTGGTGGAAGTTTCTCATCAGTTTCTTACCAGCTTTCTTTTTCTGTTCAGACAGCCAGACCCTGGAGGGACAACGAGCCTATCCCACAGCTCTCCACGAACCAGACAAGCAGAAAACACACAATCCATGTGGTTTGGGAGTCCACTTTGGTACGTTGACTAACAGTTTTTAATAGGGCTACAGAAAACCAGAGATGCCTACCGAGAAACTGTTTTCTGTGTCCTTCAGAATATTTGCTTATTTGGCCCAACCTTCTTGCAGGGGGCAGCTCCCACTATACCTGCCTCTAGGAGCCATAAACAAGCCTCCTGTCCAGTTACACCTCTGGGGGTGCAGAGGGGGCACACCTGAACTGAACTCTCCTGTTCTCGTTCTCCCTCTGAACCCCAGGTCCTGGGGTCCGGCTGCCCCAGGGTTCCTTCTGTAGCTCTCACCTGAGACGTGGCCGTGCTGGATGCCAGGTGGAGCCCCAGGCTGGACTCATGAGGAACAGCACAAGTCGCCAGAGCCCCACCCTTGACAGCAGCCTGATGGCCCAGCCGTGGCTCAGAGCCGGTGTCCTGAAGGGCAGCTGTGGTCAGGGCAGGACCTGCAGGGACAGACAGAGGAAAAGTCTTCTCATTTTCACTTCAAGTAATTCCTTTTAGATTCTCAAGGTAGAAAAGACTCCTAAAGTCATTTAATTTTCATTCCTGTGACTGCTCAAATAAACTTGCCCCTGGGGTGTGGGTCAGGTTTTGTGGCTGACACTGTTGCTCACCTCCACAATATCCATTTCTCCCTTCCTCCGTTCTAACAGAACTCCAATGTGTTCACCACTCAGGGTGCCACCATATGTCCAGCTCAGAGGCCTCATCCAGTCAAAGCCAATGCAGGCCCTTTGTAAGGGGGTAGGTTAGAGGTGGGTTCTGACCCAACTCTAGTCACTGAGACATGAAGAGGGACCTGCTGGTGGGGGAGGGGGAGTTTCTTGGAAATGTTTTCCTTGCTTTTAAAAAGAAAGATGCAGGAACCTCTCCTTGTTCAGCCACACTTGATTTTCTATAGCCATATTGTGACCTTCTGCAGCCACACTGTGACCATGAGGGGGGAGCATAAGTAAAGAGCAGAGAAAGATAAAAAAAAACACATACAAAAAAAACACCTGAGTCTTTGATGATATCATTGACCCACTGGATAAACAACCCTGGTGCTGTGCTTTCTCCAGCATCCTCCTATATAATAAAAGGCTAATATACAAATCACCCTAAAAGCAGAAGGACCTGTCACTATGCTATAATGCGCACTGACCACCAGGGGGCAGACGCTCAAATCAGGAGCTGCCCCCTGGTGGTCAGTGCACTCCCACAGGAGGAGCACTGCTCAGCCAGAAGCTGGGCTCACAGCTGACGAGTGCAGTGGGGGTGGCAGGAGTGGGCCTAAGCCAGTGGTCGGCAAACTCGTTAGTCAACAGAGCCAAATATCAACAGTACAACGATTGAAATTTCTTTTGAGAGCCAAATTTTTTAAACTTAAACTATATAGGTAGGTACATTGTTATTAACTTAATCCGGGTACTCCTAAGCTGGCCTTTGCTAAAAACGTCCTCAATCTGATTGAGGTACGTTCGCTGAAGTCGACCCCTTCCAACCCTCCCATCCTCAACTCGTGCATGAATCTCGAGAGCCTCCCCCGCGCTGCATATCCCGCGGCCTGCCTGCACCGCGTCTCCTGTCGCCCAACCGACCGACACCCCCCACTTTTTCTAACGCCACTTCTTCAAAATAGACTTGTCCAGACCGAAAACCGACTTCTGCCCATGGGCCATGAAGTTTCAATCGCACTGTACATGCGCGCCCGCATGTGGTATTTTGTGGAAGAGCCACACTCAAGGGGCAGAGCCACATGTGGCTCGCGAGCCGCGGTTTGCCGACCACTGGCCTAAGCCATCAGTCGGACATCCCCCAAGGGCTCCCGGACTGCGAGAGGGCACAGGCCAGGCTGAGGGGATCCCCCCCCCCCCCAGTGCACAAATTACATGCACCAGGCCTCTAGTCCTATTATAACAGTAAAGAGTATCCTCATCACTTATGTCCACTGTGTGGGGAAGTTGCTACCTGTAGTTAAGATTATACTAAGTGATGTGCTCTCAGATGTTCCTGAGAAGACAGGCCCATGTTCCTGAAGCATCATCCCACTATCCTGAATACAGCATTCCCAAACGTCCACATAATTCTTTTCCCTTTACCTTTTCTTAGCATTCAGTTCTTTGCCCAGATTGAGCACATTTTACCATATTTTCAATACAATATTCAATTCTATAATAGAAGCCCAGTCAGTCATTTAATTAGCATTTTGGAATCCCTGTGATGTACCAGACAGCCAGGGAGAGTGCACTGTGGAGGAGATCACTCCAGGGAAGGAGGGGAGCACCTTGGGCAGGGTGCGCACACTGGAGTGTGTGAGCAGGAGGAGAGGCCGAGGAGAGCAGGGCGGCCAAATGAGGTGGCAAAGAAGAGTGTTTTAGCACCTCAGCAAAGAAACTGGTTCTTGAAAGTAAGGAGGAGATTGTGAGCAGAAAAGAGTAAGGGGGCAGACATCCATCACCAAGAATGTGAATTATGATATATTTCCTGAGCACTTACGATGAAGCAGGCATTGCGTTTAGTGCTTTCTGACTATTAACTCATTGAATCCTCTCTCAGGAAAAGTAAACCGAGGCATGGGGAGGTTACATGATACAGGGAGTGAAGTGCTCCTGGGCTCACACCCGTTACCAGTTCACACTGGTGGTTCTCATATTCGTTGCCAGAAGCAGCCACCACTGGGACTTGTTACAAATTCAGATCTTAGGCCCCATTTCTGAGTTACCCAATTTAAACCTCTGGGGGTGACGTCCAGCATTTTGTGTTCTAACGAGGCTTGCACATGATTCTGATGCCCACTTATGTCTGAAAACCCCTGCTCAGCACTATAAACATGCGATGAGAAGAGATGGCACATTCAGAGGAGTATAAATGGTGGGCAAAGGAGAGAAATGGGGTAGATGTGAGGAACCTTACATATCATCTAAGGAAGATGGGCTTCGTTTACAGGCGCTGGGGAGAAAGGTGGAAGTGAGACAGCATGTGGCACGATTGGGATGAGATCCTGATTGGCATTAATGCTAGGGCTGGACCCCAGCAGGGAGAGGCCAGAAGGAGGGAGCCCAGGGAAGAGGCAGCTGATGGTTCAGACCAGCAGCAGGGATTGCGTGAGGCATGACAGTGCAGAGAAAGGAGGAACCTGCATAGGGTCAAGAGACAGAGTGAGGTAACAGTTGGACATGGCACGCAGAGCTGGCAGAGGTATCCGGGATGACTCCAGGGCTTCTAACTTCAGAGGTGAGGGCCGTGGTGAAACTGGTTACCAGATTGGCGATGCTACGAGAGGAACAAGATTGGCAGGGAAGACACTTGGCTCTACTTGGGAAATGTGAAGACTGAGGTGTCTGTGGGACATAGAGATGTAAACACTTCAAAATGGAAGGAGAAAGGGGGACCTGGTGCTCAGGAGTTGGGTCAGGGCTAGATACATAGGTTTGGGGGTCACCAGCATCAATGTGATGGTTGAAGCCATAGACAGTAGTAAGACTGTGTAGGAGGAAAAGAGTGACGGCTGGATCCTGCAGGACATTAACGTCCTCTGGGGGTGGGTGCCGAGTAGATGGGTCCCCACCATGCTGGTAGGCAAGCGCACTGTGAGTGGCTTCTCAGCAAAGCACCTCATGCACTGTTCGGGGCCTTCATAAAATGCCTTCAGCACAGAGTGGCAATTCTAAGTCTCAAAGGCCAACCTCCATTACTTTTCCCTCTCATCATTTTATCAACTTTAAATAAATATGCTAGACTTTTATTTCCAGCAGTATGGCAGGCTAAGCACTTAGATTGACCCTACCATTGAACAACACTAAAAATTTTGAATAAAATATTTAAAAACCATGTTTCAAAAAGCTGGTGAGAAAGGAATTCGCCGGCCAGGGACTCTTCAGATAATGGAATGTCCAGGTCTGACTATAATAATGACTTTAATATAATATTAATTAGAAGTTAAAGGCAAGCTTGCAAATATGTGCAGGGAACAAAAAAATCATAAAGAATAACAAAGAAGATTTTTAAAAAATGAACCAGAGAGGATTTTTTTTCTTTTTTTTGTTTTGTTTTGTTAATTCTCACCAGAGGATATTTTTTCCATTGCTTTTTCAAAGAGAGTGAAAGGGAGAGAAGGAGGGAGGTTAGAGAGAGAAACATTGATGTGAGAGAGACACATCGACTGGTTGTCTGCCTCACATGCCCTGACCAGGGGCAGGGAGTGAACCTGCAACCAAGGTGCCTGCCCTTGACCGGTAATCGAACCCAAGACTCATTGGTGCAAGGGCCGATGCTCCAACCACTAAACACACCGGCCAGGGCCAAAGAGAATTTTTAGAAATAAAAATTAAATAACTGAAATGACAAAGTATGGATAGACTTCATAGGATAGTAGATACAGTCTGAGAAAGAAACAGTGAGCTCAATAAGTATCTGTTGATCCATTTTGTTTTATGAGGGTTTTTTGTTTTGCTTTGTTTGGCATCACCATTCAATAAAACCACATTGATAGGTCCCTAAAGTATCAGAAAGTTCAGATGTGGTATGTGGAATAATATGATTGCTATCCAGTACAAAGTAGAGCTTTTCATTCTATTTCTAACTCCAGTAAATGGAGCTTGTATGTTTAAAAAAATTTTTTTGTTTGCAATGTGTGAATATATAATGAAGGCCTAGTAATTATTTTTTATTAACATTCATTTCACTTAGCAATTCCTTCTTGTGTCTGTTTCTGATTCAAGCTGTGGTTCAATGCATTAAAACTACATTCCTTAAAAAGTTCTATAGCAGACTTTTTACATTATAGTTGGCCCACCCCTATCGTTCGACTGGCCTGAGCCTGGGGAGCTCGCCTAGTTGGAGTCAGGAGACTCTGTTCCCATTTCACAGGTGTGTTAACAGAGCTCTGTTATCCAGCAGACCCCACAGCCCGAGGGGTCAGCCCTTGTAGGGAGCCAGTCTGGTGCAGCGGGATCAACAGCATGTTGAGATGTCTGTGATGTAGGTGTCTATACCAGAACTAGATGTGTGAACTCAGACAATTCTGTACCCTCCCTGAGCCTCCGTTTCCTTGTCTGTCAAATGGAAATGCTAACTCCTAGATGAGAAACTGCCTGGCATATGGTGGGACTCAATACATTATCTTATTATGCATGGGGCCATGTGAGTCTGCTGGGTGCTGAATTCACTCCCAGGGTTAAGCCACATCTACTGAAGCTGGAACCCCAAGCCACAAACCAAGGCAAACCCCAAAAATCTGAGTAGAGGGGACACAGCAGGGGCTAGTGCAGTCCATAAAGAGGGTAAGGAGGAGCAACGGGAAATGCGCCAGAGACACACTGCAGGAGATAAACGCTAGAAAGAAGCCTGCTGAGAAACAGAAATGCACTTAGCGTTATTTGCAGCCAGGACAATCACTCCCTCTGAGTAACCTGCCTTGCCCTGAGAAAACGCAGGGTCAAGCCCCAGCAAGACTCCAAGA